GGAAGCGCTCTCATATGCGTTTTCCATGTCGTGTTGAGATGTCTTGCGCAATCTGGTAGGGTGCAGCAGTCGCATTCGGCACACGGTCGCCGCCCTCAGCAATCTCGGCCAGAGCCACCGTCGTCGTGTTTTCAGTTGTCACCCCCTGACACAGCGACTTCGCCGCAATGGCCGTGCGCCGCTCCAGCCTGCTCTCGGTGGTCGTGCTCGGCATGGCCGCCACGGCGGTGTTGATGGGCGCGCAGGCGTTCTGCGGCGGCAAGGCTCCGCAGACTTCGGCGCTGCGCGGCAAGGTTCGAGGACGGCAGCCAAGGTTGCACGAGCATCATGTGTCGGAGTCCCGCCCAGACTTCCTGGGGGTTGACGCTGGACCCCGGACGGCGCCTCCAGCGCCGCCCCTGGAGCGCGTGGGGGTTCCAGTCGGCATCGTTGAACCGATCCCCATCCCCATCCCAATCCCCTTCGAGACCCCCACCAACTTACCACCCCAGTTGGGGATACACCCCTCGAAACCCGAAGGGAACGACCTATATCCCCTATCTAGGGGGGTAAATCGGCCAGTGGGGCCCAGGCCACGCCGCCGGGGATGGGGATCGGATAAACGATACTCATCCAGCGCCCACACAGCCCACCCAAGAAATCCGCGTGGACCTCTGAATGTATGTAGTAATGCCGCTGTTTTCTGATTCGAGAGGTGGCCCAGGGCGCCCTCCCGGTGGAGATGGTGGATACGGTCGCGGACGCGTCCTCGATCATGACCGCGTTGCAGATCCAGCAGCCGGCTTGGGCGGCCAACCTGGTCCTCGTGATCATCCCGATCTCCATCCTCATCATCATCTACCTCCAGTCGGAGAAGACGCTGCAGGAGAGGGATGCCGTCATCGGCAAGCAGAGGCTGTGAGCTCGGCGGCGTGCTTTTCAGGGCCGCCAGTTGTTTTCACTGCACGGTACCCATACTTGGCCTTTCAAGCGTTCGGATGCGTTCGAAACCAGATGTCCCAGGCGTGTCTGGAGGCATCAATCGGGCCCGACGAAAAGGGGAGGATGGGGACAGGGGATTTACGAGCTCTGTTGCATGCAGATGGTGTCGGCCCCGCCGCCGGGCCAATACCTCGATATATGGGCGTCCCCCTGCGCCAGAAGGCGCCAGGAAATCCAGCTACGTGGGCGGAGTCTCCACCCGACCCTTTGCTATCCCACCCTGTCGTTCCCCACGGATTAAAGGAGCAGCACTGCTATATGTGTGCTTTTCAGTGCGCTGCCCACCAGGCAAGCCGCGCGGCTGCCTGCAGGGCAGGGCCGAGTGAGCTGCCCCAGCTAGTGCAGGTGTATCAACATGTCCTACGAAGTGCGCGGCGGCTTACCAAGCCCGAGTTTTTTATGCGTAGCGACTCTTGCGATGACATTTCAGCATCCACTGGAGGCATAAAGCATCTTGGGCCTCCTCCTCCTCCTCCTTCCTTCCCTTCTCCTGCTCCTCCTCCTCCTCCCCATTCCCCTCCTCTTCTGTCTCCTTTTCCTCCTCCGCCTTCTCGGATCGGTGTGGGAATATCGAACGTGTGGTTCAACAGTTGGGCTCGCCTGCTGCTGGCACGAGGGCCAAGAGCAGCCCTAGCGCAACAGGGACACCCACGTGTTCTTCGTGCTTGGGGGGTCTACCGTGTAATCGTTTTCTTGTTCGTTGTTTTGCCGATCGGCGTGGCCCTCGCAACCCCCTTCCCCCCCCCCCATGGAGTACAGCCGGGGCCCTGAAGATGGAACCCTTTTCGTTTTGGAGGGGCTCGGTGTTCCTCGGTGTTCCTTGATTGTTCGACAGTTTGCCTTCTGTTTTCCTGAGGTTTTCCATGGGAAATCGAAGTTCAACTTATGGGAGAAAGGGGCCCCGTTCCTTATTTAGGGTTCCTTAGGTGAACGCCCCCACTGTAGGTCTTGGCTGTTTTTGGCGCCTGTTTCGAACAGGTGGGGTCTCCCCCACAGGACGCCCGTCTGCGAACAGTCGCGTTAAGCAGAGGTCCAGAGCCAGACCCCCCCCCCTTCCCCTCCCCCTCCCGCCCAATGTAGACACGCCGAAGAAGAAAACGCTCACCAGGTTTATGATGTGCCTTGATCACCAGAGAGCATTTCGAGCACCAAACAAGTACCCAAACTCGAGGGTTGTCACGTGTCGGGCTCTGGGAGACACTGTTTCAACACACTGTCGACACTCTTTCGACACTTTTCCAGGTGTTCCAAATTACGTATCTCTGGGACGTGGTCCTCAAGTACGATGGGAGCAACATATGCCCAGGAGTTCTTCGGAATTCTGGAGAGCACCTAGGAAATCGCAAGAACCCTCAGGAGTCCACTGGAATCCCTGGGAATCTGCTAGGATCCTTCTGACTCCCTCGGACCACTTTGGGCTCTCAAAAGGGGGTACGGCTTTCAGGCCGCTCCTTCAAGCTCTTCGTGGCCGAGGCTCGCCGTGGCCTGAAGAAGGCCCTTCGCTCCTCGTTCAGCGTTCTACATGGCAACGTGATGACTGTATCAGCAGAAACTGTTTTTGGTCCGCGCGGATTCCCTGGGTCAGCGTTGGACCTCTGGCGGAGCCTGCGGCGCCACCCCTGCCGCATCCGAAAGTACGGGAGCAGCATGACCCTGCTGGGAAGGTTCTTCGATGGGGGGCATCTCCCCTGAGCACGGGCCGCTCGGCGGAGGGGCCCGGGCTCCTGACCCGCGCTCCTGTGGCAGGGCCCCCGACTGTGCGGGGGGACCACCTGCTCTGTACGAGAGTCGCGGGTGGAAAAGAACACACACAGACACAATTAATCGTCCACTCCCAGGAAAGTATGGGAAAATATGGGAAGTGTGGGGGAAGACAAAAACCTAGAAAATCTGTGAAAATATGGAGAATCCTGTTATTTGTGTGTATTTATTTGTGTGGCCCAGGGTCCCTTCAGAGATGGCCGGTGTCATGGCGCCAACATCGCAGAGCGGATTTCGTTCGAAAAAACGATAGGAGGGGCCCGGAGAGTCCTGGAGAAGTTCGTTCTGGATTTCGAGGTTAATTTCGTGCGGATTTTTTGCTTGGCCAGGAATGAAGACTAAAAAGAATCCACACGAAATTCACTTCGTTTTGCGCTCGCCGTTTCGGGCAAAAATCCACGCAGGAATCCACGCAGCAATCCGCTGCAGCACGTCTGCAAGGCTGGTGCAATGGCAGGTGGCGATGATGGTTCAGCGGCAGGGAATTTGGTGAGGGGCCCTGAGGACCAACCCTCGAAGAAAAAACGCCATGAACATAAACTGTTGGCGCTCCGCGCGGAATCCTTGGATCCACGCCAGGCCCCCAGGCGGCGCCTCCGGCGCCGCCCCTGGCGCGCTCCGCACGCCAGGGAGGGGGGTCCAGCGCGGATCCAAGAAATCCGCGCGGAGCGCCACAAGTCAAAAATGCGAAGGCCTTACGGCCAGTGCCGCCGACCCTGAAGGGAGACGACGACGACGACGACGACGACGACGACGACGACGACGAGGACGACGACGAAGACGACGACGACGACGACGACGACGACGACGACGACGACGACGACGACGACGACGACGACGACGACGACGACGACGACGGCGGCGGCGGCGGCGGCGGCGGCGGCGGCGGCGGCGGCGGCGGCGGCAACGACGATGACGACGCTGACGAGGGCCAGAGATGGTTCTTGGGGTTTCTTCGGAAGTCTCTCGGGGGCCTCGGGGGAGAAAATTTGGGGTCTCTTGGGAGCCTCTTGGGGGCCTCTTGGGAGCCTCTTGGGGGCCTCGTCGGGCGTCCTGGGGATCTCTTGTGGGCCTCTTGGGGCCTCTGGGGAACCTCCAAGAGCCTCCTGGGAGCCTCTTGGGGCCGAGGGCTCGAAATGTCCGGTCGGGTCCCCCGTCTGGGCACGCTCTTGGAGCCGTCTTGGGGGCATCTGGGGCCGTCTTGGAGGTGTTTTGGGCTGTCTCGGGGTCCTCTTGGGCTGTTTTGGGTCTTCTTGGAGGCCTCTTGGGCAGCGAAGCATCAATGATTTTGGCCTCCTCTTGGGGTCCTCTCGGGAGTGCTCTTGGAGGCGTCTTGGGGCGTCCTGGAGGCCTCTTGGGCCGATCGTTTGGCGATTTGGGACTCTCTTGGACCGTCTCAGCGGCCTCGTGGGACATTGGCCTGTCTTGGTACTTCATGAGGCCGCAGGGCCCACAGCGGGGGGAAAGCGTATCTGGGTGGCGGCCCCCCCGGGACCCTCCCCCCTCTGGCGCAGGGAAGGAATGAAAGGGATGGGGCTTGCCTTCGACGGGATTACGACATTGCTCGATTCTTCTCTCACTGACAAGCTTGAGGAGGAGGGTGCAGGGAAAGGGGACGACGGAGACAACGACTGACGGAGACGACAACTCGAACAGCCAAGCCCCTCACACACGCCGACAGTGTCGGCGGATGTACGGCGTTCCTGCTTCTTCTAGATCTGTTTCAGGCTGCAGGGAATTTTATGAGGGTCCATGATGACCAACCCACCTTCAAAAATCAATGCGGTCACACTGCATGGTGAGCCGGTGGGGATTCGGGGCGACGGTACGGTTTTGGCACGCGGGTGCGTCTCCGAGGATGTCTCGGGCGACTGGGGCCTCCGAGGTCCCAAAACCGTATGGTGCTGGACCGTGCGTTGAGCTTGTTGAACATTCCGAGGTCACCGCACGGTCTGTCATCACACTGTTTTGGGACCACTACAATACAGGGATCGGCTGGAGGAGTTGATCCGCTAAGCTACCTCGGACTTGCGGTGACTGGCTACAGCGGTTTCGCTGTTTCGGTTCATTCCTTGTTTTCTTGCGTAAGGGGGAAGCGCTCTCATATGCGTTTTCCATGTCGTGTTGAGATGTCTTGCGCAATCTGGTAGGGTGCAGCAGTCGCATTCGGCACACGGTCGCCGCCCTCAGCAATCTCGGCCAGAGCCACCGTCGTCGTGTTTTCAGTTGTCACCCCCTGACACAGCGACTTCGCCGCAATGGCCGTGCGCCGCTCCAGCCTGCTCTCGGTGGTCGTGCTCGGCATGGCCGCCACGGCGGTGTTGATGGGCGCGCAGGCGTTCTGCGGCGGCAAGGCTCCGCAGACTTCGGCGCTGCGCGGCAAGGTTCGAGGACGGCAGCCAAGGTTGCACGAGCATCATGTGTCGGAGTCCCGCCCAGACTTCCTGGGGGTTGACGCTGGACCCCGGACGGCGCCTCCAGCGCCGCCCCTGGAGCGCGTGGGGGTTCCAGTCGGCATCGTTGAACCGATCCCCATCCCCATCCCAATCCCCTTCGAGACCCCCACCAACTTACCACCCCAGTTGGGGATACACCCCTCGAAACCCGAAGGGAACGACCTATATCCCCTATCTAGGGGGGTAAATCGGCCAGTGGGGCCCAGGCCACGCCGCCGGGGATGGGGATCGGATAAACGATACTCATCCAGCGCCCACACAGCCCACCCAAGAAATCCGCGTGGACCTCTGAATGTATGTAGTAATGCCGCTGTTTTCTGATTCGAGAGGTGGCCCAGGGCGCCCTCCCGGTGGAGATGGTGGATACGGTCGCGGACGCGTCCTCGATCATGACCGCGTTGCAGATCCAGCAGCCGGCTTGGGCGGCCAACCTGGTCCTCGTGATCATCCCGATCTCCATCCTCATCATCATCTACCTCCAGTCGGAGAAGACGCTGCAGGAGAGGGATGCCGTCATCGGCAAGCAGAGGCTGTGAGCTCGGCGGCGTGCTTTTCAGGGCCGCCAGTTGTTTTCACTGCACGGTACCCATACTTGGCCTTTCAAGCGTTCGGATGCGTTCGAAACCAGATGTCCCAGGCGTGTCTGGAGGCATCAATCGGGCCCGACGAAAAGGGGAGGATGGGGACAGGGGATTTACGAGCTCTGTTGCATGCAGATGGTGTCGGCCCCGCCGCCGGGCCAATACCTCGATATATGGGCGTCCCCCTGCGCCAGAAGGCGCCAGGAAATCCAGCTACGTGGGCGGAGTCTCCACCCGACCCTTTGCTATCCCACCCTGTCGTTCCCCACGGATTAAAGGAGCAGCACTGCTATATGTGTGCTCAGCACTTGTCTGCCTGCGAGTGTTGCCAGCCTGTCTTCTACCTCACCTTCCTGCAGGTGCCCCGCATGGGGCGCAAAGATGACCGCGCTTCGCCCTGGACCGCGTCACACAGCTGCCTCTCCACAGAGGGAGGAGCGACGTCTCGAACATGAGTAGGTTAGCGATATGGCTCCTCCCTCTGTCGAGGGTTCGCGAAGCGCGGATTTGATACGGCAGGTTCGTGCGGTTTTGGCCCGCCAGCGACGCCGGCGAAGGCGTTCCAGGCTGAATTCGGCGACGCGGAAGTACCACCGCACACGGTGGCGCCCTTGGGCCCGACGGAATTCAGCCAAGAACGGTTGGGGCCAGGATTGTTCCAAGGTGGAAACGATCGACGTTGTGTCGAAGAGTTTGGCGCGCGCCGACGCCGCACGAGCTCACCGTACAGACCCCATCTTCCTCCAGCGGTTCCACGTTCGATCATGGACACCTTCTTGCAAATACGCATCCAGCGTTTGCGCGGGTGGTCGCTCAAGACCCCAGATGCCCTCGAATGCCGCCGAGGGTGAAGTCGGACATGTCCCTCGACAGGAGGAAAGTTCAAGAACAGTAAGAAAGTAGTCCGGTGTCGATTTGTCGTGCTCGTTTGACCCTGCTGTTATGTTGATTGTCCTGCAATTGCTCTTTAATATGTTATGTCTCTTGTATTCCTCAATTCTTTTTCCCCACATCCTGAGTGGGGTTCTTGTTTTCCCAGAACACCCTCTCCTTCCCACCCACCTCCCGCTCCATCTTCCATACAGCAATTCCTACCACACACGCCATACCATACCATAGTTCCTACCACACATACCATACCATACCATACCACACCATACGTACCATACCGTACCATACCATACCATGGCGTACCATAGCATACCATACCATATCACACCAATGCCACACCGTACCATACCATACCATACCTCCAGTACCATACCATACCATATCATACCATACCGTACCATACCATACCTACCATACCATTCCATACCACTCCATACCGAAAACCATACTACTTATCCGAAAACCATACTATTTACATGGTTTCGTGCCCCTCCCACCCCTCCAGGGAGGCCCCGCCTGAGCGAGGAGGGTATCGGAATACCATACTATTTACATGGTTTCGTGCCCCTCCCACCCCTCCAGGGAGGCCCCGCCTGAGCGAGGAGGGTATCGGAATACCATACTATTTACATGGTTTCGTGCCCCTCCCACCCCTCCAGGGAGGCCCCGCCTGAGCGAGGAGGGTATCGGAATACCATACTATTTACATGGTTTCGTGCCCCTCCCACCCCTCCAGGGAGGCCCCGCCTGAGCGAGGAGGGTATCCGAAAACCATACTATTTACATGGTTTCGTGCCCCTCCCACCCCTCCAGGGAGGCCCCGCCTGAGCGAGGAGGGTATCGGAATACCATACTATTTACATGGTTTCGTGCCCCTCCCACCCCTCCAGGGAGGCCCCGCCTGAGCGAGGAGGGTATCGGAATACCATACTATTTACATGGTTTCGTGCCCCTCCCACCCCTCCAGGGAGGCCCCGCTTGAGCGAGGAGGGTATCGGAACACCATACTATTTACATGGTTTCGTGCCCCTCCCACCCCTCCAGGGAGGCCCCGCCTGAGCGAGGAGGGTATCGGAATACCATACTATTTACATGGTTTCGTGCCCCTCCCACCCCTCCAGGGTAGCCCCGCCTGAGCGAGGAGGGTATCGGAATACCATACTATTTACATGGTTTCGTGCCCCTCACACCCCTCCAGGGAGGCCCCGCCTGAGCGAGGAGG